GGAGGGGGTACGCTCCCCCAGGACCTGCCACATCGAGGCCAAGCAGTTCCAAGTTTTGGGTTCCTAACCCATCACCCTTCAGAAACCAACCCCCAGGGAGGTGATGCTGGGACAAGGACACAACTGGCCTTGGGATTCATCCCGAGGTCCCCGAAAGGACAGCCCTGCCCTTGCACCCAGCAGCTGTGCCCTGGTGTGGGGTGCTGGGCACCCCCGGGACAGGGGTGCCAGGGTGAGCTGCAGCCTCCCCGCGGTGACAGCCGAGGATTTAGTGCTCTCTGAAGGAAATTGAATTTGGTGTCTCTGTTGAACACAGCCAGGGAGAACGCTCTCGTATATCCTCAGGATTTATGGTTCTCCCGGGGCGCTCGCCGTGCCGGGTGTAATTCTGCCGTGTTGCTCCTGGGGGTGGGCGGCCCCATGGGGAGCTCGACTTGGTGGCCAGACAGACCCCCCTGGGCATCCCCTCAGCCTCTTCAGGTCTCCCCGTGTCTCTCATGCTGTTGGGAACCCCAAGCCATGGGGTAGGATGTCCCCGGGGAGGATCTGAGTGTCCCTGGCTGCGCTGGTGGTGCCGGTGAGGAGCCTCACAGGGTTACCATTGGTTAAGGCAACACTCGGTAAATTTGGGTCTGTTTTTACAGCACAATCAGTGTCACAGTAGCCTGTGCTCCCTGCTGGGGCTGGGCTGTCCCCGTCCTGTGTTCCACCCTTGTGCCTGGAGTATGGCTGGGGGCTCCCTGCCAGTGCCAGGTGTCCCCATGTCACCTCCTCTCTATCCCCTGGGGACATTGCCACGCTTGGCTGGCAGTGCCAGGCAGCTCAGTGAGGCACTTGTGCCACACCTGGCTGCTCTCCTGCCTGTCACAGCAGCGGGGTCCCCATGGTGTTTTTGGGGGTCGTATCATCGATGGTGCCCAGGGGATCCCCTGCTGTCTCCCACGGCACATCCGCTGGCAGCAGTGGCTGTGCCGTGCCTGGAGTGAATCTGTGGGAACTCACCAGCATCCTGGTGTCCCGGGTTTGGGGACAAGGGACCCCGCTGGAGGACAGGAGGTGGCCTGGGGGCTGTGGGGGAGGCCAGGGAAGGCATCCCCCTGTGCCTGCAGCCGCGTCCCCCGCCGAGCCCTCCACATGCCAGTTAATTTCACGCCAAGTGCTCTTGATGGATCACTTGTTATTTTTGGTGAGCCGAGCCATAAATTTGTGCCACCTCACTGCAGCAAGCTGATAAGTGGGGATGGGAGAGCACCTCTGCCTGGCACGGCAGGGGTACGGGCACCCCGGCTGCACCAGGGCTGTGCCACTCGGGGCTGTGCTCCAGCTACAGCCCCTGCGACTGGGGGTGACGCTTCTGGGGGAGCCGTGACACGTGTTTGGGGGGTCTGTGAATGTGCTCAGCTGTGCTCAACCATCTCTTGCCCTCAGGGATGCCATGCATTGCTCAGCGTGGGGCCAGGCGTCCCTGTATCCTCCTGCAATGTCCCTTGACCCAGAGTGGCCTGTCCCCATCCCTGTCCCCTGCCTGCTCTCACTGGAGCACTTCCCTCTTCCAGGCAATGCGGTCGAGGAGAACCAGAAGGTGAAGACCCAGTGGCCACGGTCAGCAGATGAACCAGGTGTCTACATGGCCCAGACAGGTACCAGCACTGCCCCAGCGTGGGGACGGGCAGGGGGCACTGGTGGCACTGGGCTCAGGTACCCGGGCAGGGGTGATGGAGATGGAGCGGCTCCCTTTAACTTCCTGCCCACGGACTGACTTAATTTGCTCCATTTATAAATTTTTTCCCTTTGCACCTTCCTCTGAGGGTTGTAAAGCAAACAAAAATCCATTAATTGTTTCGTTCAAATGTGTTTATTTGGCAAATCCATCTGGGTGGTTTGAGTGTGCTGCTCCCCCCTCCTCAGCCCCCCTGATTTATGGTCAGAGGGCCCGGAGGTGAGTGGGAGATGGATGGGCCCCGGCTCTGCTCCGTGTGCCTGGCATGCAGATCTCCTTCCGGGTGCTCACGGGGGTCCTGCCCCCCTGGGAGCTCCTGGGCAGAGCATGGGTTGACCCCAGTGGTGACTCAGTCCAGGCTTGGGGTCCCCGTGTGACACGGAGCAGCCACAGCACGTTGTCACCACCGTGGGCGACACGGAGCCTGCGTCCTGCCTGTCTGCAGGACAAATGGTCCCCTTTGGAGCCCTCCTCCATATATCCCTGTTTAATTTAAACGGATGGGCTCTGCTGTTGGCCTGTCCAAGAGCCTCAGAGACATCATCAACCTTAATAAGAGCTGGTTGTTGTAAATGTCAATGTGTGATGGGGTGGGGAGGGGGAGCCGTGGCGGGCTGCCCACTCTGCCTGCCCTGCCTGTGCTGCCTGTGCTGCCTGTGCTGCCCACATTGCCAGCCCTGCCCTTGCTGTCTGCACTGCCAGCGCTGCCTGTGCTGCCTGCCCTGCCCACCCTGCCTGCACCACCTGGGGTGGATGCTCTCCCTCACACAGGGTGTGATCCCACACCCCAGTCCCATCTGCAGGCGCAGCTGGTGCTGTGCCCAGAGGGCAGGGCGGGCTCCTTCACCCCGCTGACATCCTCAGTGTCACCCCTGTCACCCACAGCACCTCCTCCTTATCCCTGCACTCCCCAGCGCTGCCCAACCTCCTTCCCCTGACCCCCGTGGCACCTTCCCCGTGCCCCCCCCCGGGGGGTTCTCAGTCTCCCTGTCTCCCTCCCGCAGGGGACCCGGCGGCGGAGGAGTGGTCTCAGTGGAGCGTGTGCTCTCTGACGTGCGGGCAGGGCTCCCAGGTGCGGACGCGCTCCTGCGTGTCCTCCCCGTACGGGACGCTGTGCTCCGGGCTGCTCCGGGAGACGCGCGCCTGCAACAACACCGCCACCTGCCCAGGTACGGGGGGCACGGCGGGCACCGGGGGGGCTCCGCCGCCGCCTCGGGGTGCCCAGAGGGGATGTTGTGTTGCTGGAGCGTCTCCGGGGCTCTCGGAGGTGTGGGGTGGATGAGGAGGGCGGCTCGGCGCGGTCGCGGCGCCCACCCCGCGCTGGGCTGCTCGGAGCTCTGTTGGCGTCCCTCCATCCTCCGGCCTTCCTGCCTGCTCTTGGGAGGCGTCTGGAATGGGTGCCCTGCACCCTTGTGCCTTGTCACTGGTGCTGCTGCCGTGGATTTGCCTTTGGAGCAGGTTGGCTGGTGGCCTCTCTCCGCCCTCCCTCCTGGCTAACTCAGGGCTTTCCCCTGGATGTCCCCGAGGTTTTGTGCTGGGGAGAAAGGAAAGGCTGGAGCCTGCACCTGGGGGACTCGAGGTCTGGCCTGGTCTGCTGGGGGTTCCCCATTTGCGTGGGGCAGGAGGGGGCTGAGCTGCTCCGTGCATCGAGGCAGGTCACAGGCAGGACGCTGAGGGTCTCACGTTGGTCCGTGGTGGTGTCTGTGCGTCTCGTGTGGGATGTTGGGAACCTGAGGGACCTCAGGGTGCCGCAGTGGCAGCCAGACTGCCCTGACCAAACCTGGGATGTTTCAAGGGATCTGCATCCCCAACAGACCCAGTGTTCCCCTCCATCCCAGGGAGTGCAGCCCTGTCCCGGCATCAGAAGTCATGGAAGAGCATCCTTTAGGATGCTCCTGTGCCACACTGGTCCCTGCTCCTTTCCCGGGTGTGCTAAGCTCCCGTAGGTGCAAGGGGCAGGTCATGCTCGGTGTGTTGAACGTGGTTTGGGGTGAGCCGGGCTGTGCGTGGGCAGGGGGGATGTGTGCTGCCGGTGCCAGGACCCCAGAAGGGAGGCTGGAGCAGGGCAGGGAGTGGCAGGGACACCGCTGCCGGCTCAGGGACTTGAGGTGATGACAGGACAGGCGGTGCCAGGGACCGTGCCTGACTGCACCGCGGGGCACGAGGGGTCTGCCATGGCCAGGACCCCTCTGTGGCAGGAGGCAGAGGGGGAGGCTGGAGCCCGGCAGAGGTGGTGCTGTGCTGTGTTGCAGTTCCCAGTGCGTGGCAGGAGTGGTCCCCGTGGAGCCTGTGCTCGGTGACCTGCGGGCGAGGGGCCAGGACCAGGACGCGGCCGTGCGTGGCCTCGCGGCGCGGAGGGAAGGCCTGCGAGGGCCCCGAGCTGCAGGCCAAGCCCTGCTATATCGCGATCTGCCCGGGTCAGTACCTCCCTCCCTCTCCCCACGCTCCTTCTTCCCACCGGGAATGCCAGGACATGGCACCGGCCGAGTGCCAGGGCCGTGCTCCTGGCACGGGGCTGCGGCGCTGCGAGGGATGGGTGGCACCGCCGTGGGGAGCTGGGACAGCCCAGGGGCTCAGGGATGCTGTGGCAGGGGATGCACCCTCCTGTCCCTGCTGGAAATCCGGGGGGAGAGATGGCACCGTCAGCCGTGCCAGGGTCTCAAGCCCCTGGCACGGGCAGGGGTCCAGCCTGGGGGCTGTGGAGGAGCCGGCTCCTTCCCTGCCTATCTGCTGTGGGTGGCACAGTGCTGGCACCGTGACGGCACAGGGACATTTTTGGGGCACTGGGAAACGGCAAAGGGGGTTGGCTGTGGGGTCTGTTCGTGCACGAGTGGCAATGCCACCCACCCCTTCCTCCCATGTGCCAGGAGTGGCCGTGTTGGTGGCCTGGGGTTTGTGTGGTGATGGTCAGGGGTGCCACGTCAGGGCCAGCATCCCCGTGGGGACCCCACGTGTGGTGCAGGGAGGCCAGCAGGTGGTTCGGAGCAGGAAGGAGTGCGGGAGCTGAGGGGGAGTGCAAGGGGCATCTCCTCTGCAACAGCTCCATCAGGGACATGCCACACATGGCTCGTGGCTTTAGCCATGGCAGCCCCATGGAGATACTGCTGGTGTTCACGGGCTTGGCAGGGAACAATACCAGAGATGCTGGGTTTGGTGGAGAGCGATGCCAGGAATGCTGGGTTTGGCAGGAGCGATGCTGGGGCTGCTGGGGCTGGCAGGAGCGATGCCAGGGGTGCTGTGTTAGGTGGGAGCAGTGCCAGGCTCCCCGGTGTGAGCGTGGCCGTGGTGGTGAAGCCAGCCTGGGGGTTCAGCCCCAGTGACAGTCCCCCAGTGTGGGGCAGGATTCAGCGCCGGCTGAGCTCGGCTTGGGGCGAGCCGGCACATCCGTAGGTTGGACCCGTTGCACGGAGATCCCGGTGTGCATCCCGGTGGCCGCCGGCCAGTGGGAGCTGACGCCGCCGCCCTCCTTGTCCCCGCAGTGGAAGGGCAGTGGCTGGAATGGGGCGCCTGGAGCCGCTGCTCCGTCACCTGCGCCAACGGCACCCAGCAGCGCACGCGCAAGTGCAGCGTCTCGGCCCACGGCTGGGCCGAGTGCCGGGGGGCCCACGCCGACGCCCGGGAGTGCTCCAACCCCACCTGTCCCAGTAAGGCCCCGCGCGCTGAGGGGGGAGCGGGGGGATGGCCACGCCGGCACGGCGCGTCCGGGGCACGGCGCGTTCGGCACCCAGCGCGCGGCCCGGCCGTCCCGCCCTGCGGTGTCACCACCGGTGACACGAGGGTGCCGCCAGCCCCCTCCGCTGCGGGGGAGCAGGAGCCAAGGGGCGATGCCAGGGAGCAGCAGCCGCCCCCCGTGTTGTGCTGGTTCTCCCACCGGGCACACCTCGGCTGAGGGTTTGCCCCCTGGTTGCGCCGGGGGACCCGTCGGTGCCGGGTGGCCGCGGGTCCTGCCGTGCTTTGGGCGGACAAGCACGTGTGAGCTCTGGCGTGTGCACACGGGGCAGCTGGTGGGGCCGGGGACGGCTCTAGGGGTGGGGCAGGGGGGCAGGCAGGCCGAAGGATGGACCACAGGGTCCTCGTCCAGTCCTTTGAGCCCCTCCTTGTCTCGTGGGAGGGGGGGGTGGCATCGGTGGCAGGCGCGAAGGGAGGTGGGCACACCACGGGTGCCCGTGGATGCCAGCAGGGAATGGTGGGCATCTGCACCAGGATGCCAGTCTTGTCTGAAAGAGACTTAAATCGCTGATCCATGGATTTCACACCCCGCGGGGTTTCGATCCATGGCACGTGCGGCAGCGTCGGAGGTGCCCTGTCCCCGTCCCCGCGGGTGCCGCTCGCCGTGCAGAGCCGGGTGTCCCACAGTGTCCCCATCCCCACAGCAGACAGCAAGTGGGGTCCCTGGAACCACTGGAGCCTCTGCTCCAAGACCTGTGACACCGGCTGGCAGCGCCGCTTCCGCATGTGCGAGGGCACGGGCGTGCAGGGCTACCCCTGCGAGGGCACCGGCGAGGAGGTGAAGCCCTGCAATGAGAAGAAGTGCCCAGGTATGGGGTACCCCACACCCCGGTGCCCATCACCCCCATGTCTGGGCTGCTCCTGACCCCCCCCCCTTTCAATGCCCAGCCTACCACGAGATGTGCAAGGACGAGTACGTCATGCTGATGACCTGGAAGAAAACGGCTGCCGGGGAGATCATCTACAACAAATGCCCCCCCGATGCCACAGGTGAGGGGGGTGTGTGCCCCCAGACACTCCCACGCTGGTGCAGGGAGGGAGGTGGTGGGTGGCACTGGGGTCGAGCCACCTGGAGCAGAGCAGGGGCCAGCAGGTGGTTTGGGGTCCAGCATCCCCAAACCCCCCCAGCCTGGAGAAGGGCAGGGTGTGGGAGCTGACATCGGGTTTGAGCACCCCCAAACCCCAGAAGTGGTAGGTGGCATTAGGGTTGAGCACTCCCAAGCCCCCCTGGCCCTGGAGCAGGACAGGGGGTGCCAGGAAGGGGGTTCCCATGCCAGCCCCAACCCCAAATCTCCCGTGCAGGGACTGCCAGCCGCCGGTGCCTGCTGAGCCCCCACGGGGTGGCCTACTGGGGTGTGCCCAGCTTCGCCCGCTGCATCTCCCACGAGTACCGATACTTGCATCTCTCAGTAGGTGCCCGCTCTGGCACGGACCCCTCTGCCCTCCCCTCCCTGTTCCCGGGGCTCTGCCCCATCCCTGGCATCCCAGCAGCTGCCTCCTTTCAACAGCTGGGCACTGTGTGGGGAAACTGAGGCAGGGGCTGGGGCGGGTCTCTCTCCTGTGTCCTTGGGAAATGTCTCTCGGGAGGGGAAGGGCCCCCCAGACCCCTGTGGAATCCCCCAGACCACCATGGGTTGGGAATAGGAACCCTATCCTGGAGCTGGGGGGGACACCCTGGTCTGAGCTGTGTTCCCATGTCCTTAGAAAATGGCTCTTTGGATGAGAAGGATGCCCCCAGACTCCTGTGGATCCCTCACACCCCTGTGAACACTCCCAGACCCCCGTGGGCTTTGGAATAGGGCTCCAACCCTAGAGCTGGAACAGGGACCACCATCCAAGTTGCACTCCCATGTCCTTGGGAAATGGCTTTTGGGATGGGAAGGACACCCCCAGGCCCCCATAATGGCCCCAGACCCCCGTGGAACCCCCCAGACCCCCGTGTCCCGCTGCTGCCCCAGTCAGTGCAATTATCAGTGTCCCCACTGCCTGGGCTTTGGGCATGAGGAGGGTCCTGGGGACACAGAGCGCTGCTGGGGTGAGTGACACGGGTGTCCCCACCCCGCCCAAGCTGCGGGAGCACCTGGCCAAGGGGCAGCGGGTGCTGGCAGGGGAGGGGATGTCGCAGGTGGTGCGGAGCCTCCTGGAGCTCATGGCCCGCAAGACCTACTACAGCGGGGACCTGCTCTTCTCCGTGGAGATCCTGCGCAACGTCACCGACACCTTCAAGAGGGCCACCTACACCCCGTCCTCCGAGGACGTGCAGGTAGCGGGCGGGGGGACAGCGAGGGGACGCGCCGGGGAGGCGGCGGCGCTCGGTCCCCGCAGCCCAGCCCCGCTGAGCCCCGTCCCCGCAGCGCTTCTTCCAGGTGGTGAGCTACATGGTGGACGCCGAGAACCGGGACAAGTGGGAGGATGCCCAGCAGGTGAGTGGCACGGGGGGGGGGCGGGCACAGCCGGGATGTCCCCACTGCCGGGATGTCCCCACCACCCCGGCGGCTCTGGAGCTGTTCTGCCTCCCGCAGGTCTCTCCTGGCTCCGTGCACCTGATGAAGGTGGTGGAGGACTTCATCCACCTGGTCGGGGACGCGCTGAAGGCTTTCCAGAGCTCCCTCATTGTCACGGACAACCTGGGTGAGCGGCGGGGTGGGCGCGGGGTCCCGGGGGGCTGCGGGGAGCCCGTGGTGACCCCGCTGTGCCCCGGCAGTGACCAGCATCCAGCGGGAGCCCGTCTCTGCCGTGTCCAGCGACATCAACTTCCCCATGAAGGGGCGGCGGGGCATGAAGGATTGGGCCCGCAGCTCCGAGGACAAGCTCTTCATCCCCAGGGAGGTGCTGAGCCTCGCCTCTGCCGGTGAGAGGGCACGCGTGTGTGCATGTGTGTTAACGTGTGTGCAGGGGGCTGAGCCTGGGGCTGGGTGGGAGCGGGCACGGGTGTGAACACACATGTGGGAGTGCACATCTGGTGCTGTGCACGTGTGTGTGAGCGTGCACACCTGGGACAGGGCACGTGTGTGAATATGTGTGAGCCTGCACATGTGTGTGAACATGCACATCTGGGAGTGGGCACAGGTGTGAACATGCACATCTGGGAGTGTGCATGTGTGTGTACACGTGTGAGCCTGCACGTGGGAGTGCCCATCTGGGAATGCGCACACGTGTGAACGCGCACATCTGGGAGCCTGCACGTGTGTACATATGTGTGAACATGTACATGGGAGTGCACATCTGGTGCTGTGCACATGTGTTATGCATTTGTGGCACAGCACACATTCTGACATAGGTGTGGGCTGCATACCCAGGCGTGGCGTGCACGTGTGTGCAGGTAAACATGCGTGTGCTGGCATGTCTGGGGCTGTGCATGAGTGAGAGCACATCTGGACGGATGAGCACATCTGGGAGCCCACGTGTGTGAGCGTGTGGGTGGTGTGTCCGTGCGTGCCACGTGTGTGCTGGGGGGCCACGTGTTCCTTCACACGTGTGTTCTCTCACGTGTGTGGTGCTGAGCACACGCGTGTGGTGCTGAGCACACGCGTGTGGTGCTGAACACATGCATGTGGTGCTGAGCACACGCGTGTGTCTCTCTCTGCAGAAGCGGACGAGTCGTCCCACTTTGTCATCGGGGCGGTGCTGTACCGCACGCTGGGGCTCATCCTGCCCCCCCCCAGGTGAGTGGGGCTGCCCGCTGTGTCCCCCGCTGTCCCCCCAGCTGTCACAGCCCGTGTCCCCCCTCCCCGCAGGGCCCCCCTGGCCGTCACCTCCAAGGTGCTGACGGTGACGGTGCGCCCGCCGACCAGGCCCACGGAGCCCCTCGTGCTGGTGGAGCTCTCCCACATCATCAATGTGAGTGTCCCCCTCCCATGTCATCAACAAAAGGGTCTCCCTTTCCACATCAACCTGAGTGTCCCTGTCCCTCTTCATCCATGTGAGTGTCCCCTCCACGTCACCCGTCCCACGGCATCATCATGAGTGTCCCCCTCCCACACCATCAGCGATGTGAGTGTTACCCTTCCTCATCGTCAGCCCTCCTGCGTCACCAGCGTGAGTGTCCTTCGTCACCAGCATGAGTGTCCCTTTCCCCTCCCACGACATCAGTGTGAGTGTCACCCTCCTGTCCCATCACCGTGTCACCTCTCGGTCCCTCGTGGGTCCCGCCAGGCACTGAGAGCCGGGCAGGAGCCACCAGCTCCCAGCTCACGGCCACAACACTGGTCTCCGTGCCCACGGTGGGGATGTGCCAGTGCTGGGGCACCTCAGGGCCACGTCCCCTCGTGGGCTGGGAGCAGGGCTGGGGGTGAAGCCCTGACCTGTCCCTGTGTCCGCAGGGAACGTCCCACCCGCAGTGCGTCACCTGGGACTACTCGAGGACGTGAGTGAGGGACAGGGGGACAGGGACACTCTGGCTGGGTGGTGGGGCTGGGCCAGGGGCCTGGTGGGAGGGGTGGGGAGCAGGGATGGGAGCAAGGATAGGGGAGCAGGGAGAGGGAGCAGGGCTGGGGAATAGGGATGGGGAGCAGGGATGGGAGCAGGGAGTGGGAGCAGGGCTGGGGAATAGGGATGGGGAGCAGGGGAGGTCCCTTCCCACATCCAAGCACCACTGCCACGGGTGAGTTGAGCTCCCACGGGATCGATGTGGCCCCGGAGCCCAGGAATGCCCGTGCCAGCCTGCCAGATGTGATTTGTTAGCGCTGGCAGGAGGGAGGGAAAGTAGGGCATGGTGGGGGAGGGGTCAGTGCTGCGGGGGGGGTGGGGGGTGGCAGTGCCAGCCCCCCTGCCCAGGTACCCGCCGGTGCTCTGTGTTTCGGGGTCACTGGTTCCAGTACCCCCGTGCTGGTGGGGAGGTGTTGGTTGTGATGGGTGTGGCAGGCCTGGCCCCGGGGATAGTCCCCAGCTGTCCCACAGACCCAATTCCTGGTTTTCTTGCCCTGCTGGGAGCTGTGGCTGCTCTCCCTGTGCAGTGGGCAGTGTCACCGTGGGGCACCCCCTCCCTGCTCCCTCATGAGGGGTCCCTGTGGCAGGAGGGCTCCCTACAGCAGGAAGGATCACCGTGGCAGGAGGGGTCCTTGTGGCCAGAGCATCCCCACGGAGGGAGGGTCCCCATGGAGGGAGGGTCCCTGTAACCAGAGGGGTCCCCACGGTGGAGGGATCCCCATGATGGGAGGGGTCCTCATAGACTGAGGGGTCCCCATGGAGGGAGAGAAGCATCACCCACCTGGGAGGGGACATGGGTGCCAGGGAGCTCCTGGGGCTGCCCCTGCCTGCTCCTCTCTACCCCTTCCATCCCCACCACCCCTCCTCCCAAGCCTGGCCCCCGCTCCATGGTTTGTGTGTCCCCCCCCCCACCCCAGACCTGTGTGGGATGATTAAAACCCAAGCCTTTGTGTTGCACCACTCCCAGGAGGATCAGCCCAGGGCAGGTGGGGGCAGCGGGGCAGGGATGGCTTCACCCTCCTCCAGGGGTCTGGGGGGATCCCCTGGCAGTGCCCCCCTCACCTGCCTCCCCCCAGGAAGGGGCCAGCAAGGGGTTAACTCGGGAGAGTTTAACACGAGGGGCTGCGTGTGTTTGATTAGTTCAAATTGCTCTCCCTCGCTCTCCCCCATTAATCAGGGATGCTGGCTTGGGAAACTGGGACACGGAGAGCTGCCAAACCCTGGAGACCCTCCCGGCACACACCAAATGCCAGTGCCGCCAGCTCGCCACCTTCGCCGTCCTCGCCCAGCTGCCCAGAGACCTGGTAGGGGACAGGGTGGGGACAGGGACGAGCCTGCCGGGGACACGGGATGGGGATGGGGGGTGATCCCCGGGCTGGGGGGGCCTGGCTGAGGTGGGGGTCCTGAAGGAGGGTGGGGATGGGCAAGGAGCGTTTCCTGCACCCTGCTAGGATGGGGTGGGTGCTGGGGGGTAGGGGGGTGTCTCCCACCAGCCCAGGAGAAGGGTCCCTGCACCCCCCAGCACCTTCCAGCGCCCCGAGGGTGGGTCTGCCGTGCTTGATAGAGCTTGATATGGGGCACTGCTGAGTGCCAGCAGGGGAGGGGCAGCCCCAGCCCCTGGCGTCCCCCCACCCCATTGCTATTCCACCCGCGTCCCCCGTCGGCATGGAGATGGGCACGGGTCCCCGGGAAGGCGCCTTGGCTGTACCACCGCTGTCACCGACCCCCTCTGGCACCCAGGGGTCCTCACTGAGGGGGTGGAGGGCACAGCTGGGGGTAGGGAGCAGCCGAAGGGGGGTGGGCTGGGCTCAGCTTCCCCCCCCGGTTCCCCCCCAGGCCATGGACCCCTCGGGCACCCCGTCAGTGCCACTGATGATCGGCTGTGCCGTGTCCTGCATGGCCCTGCTGACCCTGCTGGTGATCTACGCTGCCTTCTGGAGGTGACCCGGGGGCACCTGGGGACCTGGGGGGTACCTGGGGCTCGAGGCCGTGTGGGGAGGGGGCAGCACAGGGGGGGCACAGCGCCAGCAAAGGCTCGGCATCGGTGAGATTGAATGCAACGTGGTGGGAAGGGAATAACCTAGGTGGGAGAAGGTGCCCAGGCTGCCTGGCACTGTCCCTGCCCCAGGACAGCTCCTGCCCACCCATTGGCAGCTTGGGGGGACAGGGGACAGGGACAGGGGACAGGCTGGCACCCCAGCCCCACGCTGGTCCTGCCACAGGTTCATCAAGTCAGAGCGCTCCATCATCCTGCTCAACTTCTGCGTCTCCATCCTGGCTTCCAACATCCTCATCCTCGTGGGCCAGTCCCAGATGCTCAGCAAGGTGGGTGCCACCCCCCTGCCACCCTCCCGGGGTCCCCAGGTGGGCACGGGGGCTGCCGTGGGGTCCGAGGCCGGTCACCTCCTCCCTGCTGGCTCCCAGCAGCAGATTGGATTTGGATTAACTCAATCCTGGGATTAAATCCTCTGCGCTGGTGGCTTTGACACAAACCTCGCCGGGCGTGGGGGTTTAACCGCCGCGGTGCCGGGCACGTGGCCGTGTCCCCCTGATGTCCCCGTGTCCCCACAGGGCGTGTGCACCATGACAGCCGCCTTCCTCCACTTCTTCTTCCTCTCGTCCTTCTGCTGGGTGCTGACGGAGGCCTGGCAGTCCTACCTGGCGGTGATCGGCCGGATCCGGACACGCCTGGTCAGGAAGCGCTTCCTGTGCTTGGGATGGGGTAAGAGCCTGGGATGGGGTGGTGGGAGGCACCACCCTGGTACCCCCCCAAGGTGCCAAGCTGAGGCACAGGGGAGGAAAGCAGACCCAGGAGTCTTGGCGAGGCACCCTCAGGCCACGGGGAGTGCCAGAAGGGCCCCATCGCTGTCCCCATCCCCGGCGGCTGGCGCAGGGGTGATGCTGGGGGGGGACAGCAGTGTCACCCCCTGCAGCTCCAGCCTCGTGTCCCTTTTCCAGGGTTGCCAGCCCTCGTGGTCGCGGTCTCCGTCGGCTTCACACGGACCAAAGGCTACGGGACGGCGACCTAGTACGTGGGGACGGGGGCACACGGGGCTGGGCACAATGCCGGGAGCAGGGGGTGGGCACAGGGGTGTCCCTGACACGCCACGGTCCCCTGCAGCTGCTGGCTCTCGCTGGAGGGCGGTTTGCTCTACGCCTTCGTGGGACCCGCTGCCGTCATCGTGCTGGTGAGCTGCCCCCCGAGCCTCTTGGAGCCCCCCAAAAAACCCACCCGGGTGGGCGTGTGGCTGCTCGTGGAGGGCTCCGTGCCCGCCCTGACCCCGTGCCGCTCTCGCCCAAGGTGAACATGCTGGTTGGCATCATCGTGTTCAACAAGCTCATGTCCCGCGACGGCATTTCAGATAAGTCCAAAAAGCAGCGAGCTGGGTAAGTGCCCTGTGCCCCACGGGGGTGTCCCTGGGGCCTGTGCTCCCTCACCCTGCACCCTGCCCTGCCGCGCCGGGGGCATGGCATGGGGGTCCTCCGGCAGCGGGCTGAGGACGGGGCAGACTTCATCACATCAGTGGGTGGTGGGGGCCAAGCCCGGGGCGCCCGCAGCCCGTTGTTGGGGGCAGCTGGAGGGGCAGCTGGGGGCAGCCACCCCCACGCTTTCCTTTGGGGAATGGGGTCCGCACCCTGCAGACCCCCCTCCCTGCCCGCCCCACCCCCTGCCGCTTGGCCACCCCCTCATCATTAACAACTGCTGCTGCCCTCGACTAACCCGGCGCTCTCTCTCTCTCTCTCTCCCTCTCTCTCTCTCTTTCTTTCTCTTTTCCTTCTCCCATTCGCTTTTTGCCTGTGTCCGTCCATCCATCCATCCGTCCATCCGTCCACCCCTCCCCGACCCCATCCCCGCCATCCTGCCTTGCTCTCCCCACCTCCCTCCCCGCCTTCCCCGCGCCTGCATCCCCCCCGCGTGGCCCGGTCCTGGCCGCGGGGGCGCCGGGGGTGGGGTGTGTGTGGTGGGCACAGCTCGGAGCCCCCCCCGTGCGGGAGCCTGCTGCTGAAATGCACCAAGTGCGGCGTGGTGTCCAGCGCGGCCATGACCTCCGCCACCGCCAGCAGTGCCATGTTAGTGCCCGCCACGCGCCCGCCGCGTCCCCCCCACCCCACCCCGAGCACAGCCTGGGCACCCCACGGGGGTGGGCGGCGGGTCGGGGTGGGTTTCAGGGCCAGGCTGTGCGCTCGGGGCGGCGCGGGCACGGGGCGCGCGCGTGTCCCATCCCGTCTGCATGGCATGGCTTCCGCAGGTCACGTCATCGCCGGGCTCGGGGCACGGGGGGGGTCTGTTCCCTCGGGAGCGGGGAGGGCGTGAGGGGCACGGGCTCAGGAGTGTCCCCAGGACCCCTCATCCTGGCACGTGAACCCCCCCAGGGGTGCTGGCTGGGATGTGCCCGCCGCCACCCTGGTCCCCATTCCCGGGGGTTTAGTGGCACTAGAGGCAGCCCTGCAGAATAAGAAAGAAATCCCCTTCCTGCTCTTCTGGTGGCTGTGGGACAGTGATGGTGGCCCCACTCACCCCCAGCCCCCTCGCTGTGGCTGCACTGCCTGTGTGTAGGGACAGGGACACGTGGTGATGCCAGTGGCTCAGCCTGGGGGGCTGGAGCCCACAGGTCCCCTCAGCCCTCAGTGCCCTGAGCACCCAGCCGGTGCTGGCTCGGGGACACCGAGGAAGAGGGGACAGCTGGGTGGCACATCCAGCCCCGGCCATGCTTGTGGGGTGCGGGGCGAAGCTCAGGGGGCTGCTGCGGGGCAGGGGGGGCAACGCTTGGTGGGGGCTGTCAGGGGGCAGCCCAGCCCGGCGGGCTCACCCCGGCCCCTCTCTCCCTGCCCCAGGGCATCGCTGTGGAGCTCCTGCGTGGTCCTGCCTCTGCTGGCGCTGACCTGGATGTCGGCCGTGCTCGCCATGACCGACCGGCGCTCCATCCTCTTCCAGGTCCTCTTCGCCGTCTTCAACTCCGTCCAGGGCTTCGTCATCATCACCGTGCACGGGTTCCTGCGCCGAGAGGTGGGGCGGCCCCGGAGGGGTGCCGGGGGACACCCCTGGCCGCGGGGCCGTGACCGGCTCTGTCCCTGCAGGTCCAGGACGTGGTGAAGTGTCAGATGGGGGTGTGCAGGAGCGAGGAGAATGAAAACTCGCCTGACTCCTGCAAAAACGGGCAGGTGCAGATCCTGGTGAGTGCGGCTGTGCCGGCACCGGCAGGGCCGTCACCCCGCTGGGGCAGGGACCCCTTGAGGCCCCGCCGCTCCCTGTGCTGGCCAAGGTGCTTCATTTCCCCTTCTTTCTCCCTCTCTTTCTCTCCTCTCTCTCTCGCTCTTTCCCCTCTTTCTGTATTTTTATAGACAGATTTTGAAAAGGACGTTGACCTGGCGTGTCAGACAGGTGAGGTCTCCCCTGCACCCTGCACTGGGGACAGGGATGTCACCGTGCCACAGCTGGGAGGGACAGGCAGCACGTGCCAGGGGGTCACTCCTGCCTCCTCACCCTCCCCTGGGACCCCTGGAGCTGATGCTGACCCCCTCCCTGCCCACAGTGCTGTTCAAGGAGGTGAACACCTGCAACCCTGCCACCATCACGGGCACGTTGTCCCGCATCTCCCTGGACGGGGACGAAGACCCCAAGCTCAACACCACGTCGGAGGGTGGCCTGGGCTTCTCCAGCCTGCCAGGGAACATCCCTCCCACCAGCATCCTGGTCCAGGTCCCCAAGATGACGCCCAACGTGGTGGCGGGCTTGGGCGAGCTCGGCGACCCGCCGGCACAGCAGCTCAGCCTGGACGCACCGGGTCCCGTCTACCTGTGCACGGAAAGCAGCCTGCGGCCCTTGGAATATGGCTGGATCCGGGCCCCCGAGCCCCCCCGGGAGAGCGACTACATGATGCTGCCCCGCCGCACCGGCAGCCTCAAGCCCTTCCCGCGGGATGAGGGGACCCTCGGTCCCGGCGCCGACGAGGGGGTGCCCGGCGGGACGGGGCGCCCGGCGGCCGAAGGTGACACCTACCCCGGCTTCGTGGCAGTGGACCACGTCAACGTGAACTTGAACCAGCCCTACGGGACGGTGAAGGCTCCCTACGGCCTCCAGTTCAAGCAGCATCCCACCGTGCGGCAGATCCTGGCCTCGGAGCTGTCGGAGCGCAGCCGCACCATGCCCCGCACCGTCCCCGGCTCTGCCATGAAAGTGGGGTCCCTGGAGGTGAGCGGGGGGGCTGGCATGGCCCGTGGGCACGTGTGTGGGGAGGGACATGTGTGCAGGAACACATGTGCATGTGCATGAGTTACCCCTGTGCCCACCCTCGGAATCCCACCCTCGGCTCGGGGTCGTGCGGTGGGTGAGCTCCGTGTCCCCCTTGGCCGGGAGCGTCGTGTCCCCAAGCCGGTCGTGGCTTGGGGCTGGCATGAGCCCCCCCACCTTGCTCCCCCTCATCCTGGACCTGCAAAGACCTTTCCCTTTTCTTCTCCGTCTCCTCTCCCTGCTCCTGCCTGTCCCCTGCCAGAGGAAGAGGTTGCGGTACTCTGACCTGGACTTTGAGGTAAGTCCCACCGTGGCAACAGGGGTCACAGGGTCAGGTGCCATCAGAGGGGACTGAACCACCTTGTCCCCACTCCCTTTGCCCCACTGGCAGCACCCAGGCTCAGAGGGGATTTATACCAGGCAGTAGTGAGCGCTGGCTCTCGACTAAAACACCAGTGCTGAGCGTGGAGTGGGCTCTGCTGCTCATCCAGGACACCCTGGGAAGGCAGGGAGGGGTGTCAGGAGAGGGACAGGGACGGGGGCTGTGCCAAGGGCTGCAGGGCTGTGCCAAGGGCTGCAGGGCTGTGCCGGTGGCCGCAGGCTCTGCTCTCCCCCCGCAGAAGGTGATGCACACACGGAAGCGCCACTCTGAGCTCTACCACGAGCTCAACCAGAAGTTCCACACGCTGGACAGGTACCGGGCTCCGTCTGCCGGCTCCTCCAAGGTGAGGTCCTGGGCGTCCCGTCCTGCCCTGGTCTGCCCCTCTGCAACCCTTCGCCTTCTCCTCTTGCATGGGCTGGGGCATCCCAGGGAGGGTGGGGGGGGACAGGCCCTCCAGGAATGATGCAGGAGCTGAGCTCTGTGGGATTTTCCACAGCGAGAAAAGCGGTGGAGCGTCTCGTCGGGCGGCGGGGAGAAGAGCACGGCCAACGTAAGTGCCTGGGCCCCCTTGGGGGAGTTACCCCACCCCATCCTGGACAGGGCCAGAGGGTGGAGCGGGTGGCTGTGCACATCCCCAGCCGCTTCCCACAGCTCCCCCTGGCCCCGCAGGACGTGACCAGCCCCGAGGAGCAGCGGCCGCAGGCCCCGGCCGCGCCGCCCAAGCCATGGAGCACGTTCAAGGCGATGACACTGGGCGCCCTGCCCAGTGCCCAGCGGGACCGGCTGGAGCTGTGCCGGGCAGACTGGGAGAGCCCCTGCGCCGGCCTGGACGCGGCCGACGGCGACTTCCAGACGGAGGTGTGAGCCCCGCGCCCATCGCCGCCGCCCCCGGCCCGCGCGGGGCTGCAACGAGCCGAGAACGCTGGGTTTGCTCCGTCCTCCTCGGCGGCCGGGGGGGTCCCTGCCTGGCCGGAGCCGTGTCCCCCCCGGGCAGAGCCCGCGCTCCCCCCGGCGCAGCCGCCTCCCGCCCGTCCTCGCGCGGTTCCTCCTCCCGCCACCCCCCGGACGCGGGTGCGGAGGGGACCCGCGCACCCCCCCATGCTCACCCACGATCACGCCTGCACCCCCCCGGGGCAGGACCGGCCGTCGAGGCCCTTCAGACCTTCGTTCTTTTCTACCGGGATGTTTCTTCACGCCGTGCACCGTGTGCACGCGAGCGGCCGCCCCCCACCCCACCCCGGGACCCCCCGGGGCCCCGGGGCCGTCCCCTCCCAGCCCTCCCCACCGTCCCCACCCCACGGGGCAGGTGCTGTCGTTGTTGGAAATAAAAGTTCACTCTCTGTGGTGCCGTGGGGCCGCGGCCGTCGCCTCGTGCTTCGTGTCGGGGTCCGGCCGGGGAGGGGGTGGCTGTCGCCCCGTGGGGTCCCCCGGCCTGCCTGCACCCCCCTGGCCCCCTCCCTGCCTGCAGGATCCCACCAACCAGGGCTGATCCCGTGCCCAGGCACTGCCGTGCAAATGAGCGTCTTATCACAGGAGCCGGGAGCACTTAATTACACGGTAATTAATCTGTGAGCAAATTAGGAACTTCGGAGGCAATGGCCGTGCAGAGGCGCGTCAGGTGGGCTGCCTGGCACTGCTGGAGCATCCTGGCATCCGGAGCAGGAGTCTCCAGGGATGGGTGCTGGGGCAGCAGGAGCGGCAGGAATGCCAGGCTCCAGAGCAGGAGCTGTGTTGGGATAACAGTGCTGGAGGAGAGGACATCCCTGCCTTGTGGCTCTCAGCACATCAGGGAGTAGAGATTTGGGCTGAGTGATCCATGGTGTGGATCAGGTGCCCGGGCAGCTTGGCTGGGCCGTGGCACTGAAGCCCTGCTGCCGTGGTGTGCCATAAGGTGCCAGGGAGGGGTGCGTGGCTGCGGTGACATTGGGAAGCAGGTCCTGGTCTTGGCTGTCGCTTCTGTCTGGGAAAGGCCACCTGAGCTTCCTGAGGGCTTCGAAGAGGACAGGCTTGGCACAGGCAAAGGAGGCTGCCCAGTTTGGGCTGATGGCCAGTGCCCAGTTCGGATGGTGTGTCCCCATGTGCCGGGCCAGGAGATGCTGCTCCCAGTCCCACCCATGCTGGGACACTGGGGCAGGATGTGGCCCTCGGACAGGGACTGCCTTGGGGCTCGGCTGTGGCTCCCAGCCCTGTGGAGGGTGTGGGGTGAGGGTGATGCTGTGGGTCAGGGGCACTGTTCCCTCGTGGGGCTGTTCTCCCACTGGTTTGCCACTAATGGCAGCCACATCCTCTCGCTCTGGTTTCTGGGAGCCGCCACGCTCTGGGATCCCCCCGCTTTGGGGGATCCAGGGCCTGCTCCAGCTCCCCTCCTCTCCTTCCCAGCCAAACACAGCCACAAGAGGCGGCGTCAGGGTTTCCTGGGGCATCTGTTGGCAATTAGCAGCTTTTATTACTCATGGAGACGCCATATGTGGTGAGGGAACAGAGGCCGGGAGAGAGGCACGGCTCGTGGTGTGTCCCAGCACGGGGGACACGGGGACAGCCCCCAGTCCTGCGGGTCTGGGCATTGATGGGGGATACCGGGGGGAATCGGAGCAGGAGGGAGAGCTCTGGAGCCATTTTCCATCTGCAGCTTCCATCTGAGCCAGGCTGTGTCCCCCCAGTGCCAAAAATGTGCAGTTTGGGGGGCGGAAATGATGGAGAAGGAGCTCTGGGGCTGTGCAGCCGCGGGGGCGGGGTGGGACAGGAGCTCTCTGGCGCTTCACCCTTCACTTTTTGGGAAGGAAATCCCTCCAAAAGAAGCAAAACTGCAGTTTTAGCGCCGCAGAAACGAACGGCCCTGTGAAGAAGCTGGAAAGAATTCCCGCAGGCGCTTTCTTTCCTGACTGGAACTGGGGAGGGAGGGGGGTGCGGCTGGATTGGTGCAGAAATTAATGCTGAATCGCTGAAATCCTCACCGCAGGAATTCCCTCCTCTGCCTTGTCCGGGCCGGCAGCCACCCGGGGTCCGGCCGGCGTCACCCCAACGCTCAGCCCCCGGATTTGGGGGGGCCTTTCGGGGGCTGAGCTCAGCCTGGGAAGCGGGGGAGCCCCACGGTAACACCAGCGCCGCGGCTGCCGCGTGACGCTCGGGGTCGGAGGCAGATTGTCTCCAGCCCGAAAATTGTCGGGCTCTGCTCCGGCTCGTGTTTCTTGGCAGCCAGCGCTGCAGTTTCTTGGAAGCGCAGCGTGCCTCTGCTTTTTCCATGCTGGGTTGGTGGGCAGGGGCTGCAGGATCCTGCTTTCCATCCCCCAGCTCGGCACGGCTCCAAGGGATGCCGGCGCAGAATGCTGGGGAGGCGGGATCCAGCCTCTTTCCCTCTGGAGATGCCGATCCCGTGCGCTGGAACAGCCATGGGAAGCGGGAGCTGCACGGAGCAGTTTTCCACGCTGCTGCCATCCCCTGTGCTTTTTGGGGCTTTTGAGCTACCTTCGTGCCACTGGGCTGGGGACAACCAACGCAGGGAAGCAGCCTGGGAAATGAGGGAAACTGAGGCACGGGATGGGCAGCGGGAGGGATGGGTGTGACCCCCCCAAATTCATTCACAGCTGACTTGAGGGTTCTGGAAGCTGCTGGTCATGTAAGGGGTCTGGCTGGAGAAGAAGGGACAAGGCTGCCCTCCATCCTTGCTCTGCTGTGGGGCGAGATGTGGCTTTGGGGTGGGCTGTGGGGTCAGTTTTGGGGCCATACCCCCCGCCCACAAGACACACAAACCCCACCAGTGCTCCTGCACCGGGTTCGTTGCTGCTGGGTGGCCCCAAACAAGGAACAGCTCGAGGTGAATAATCATCCAAAAAACAGGAATTATAAAAGTTTCGTTGTATTTTGTTCCCACTTGCTTTAATTACCCTTAATTACCTCAGTAGGCATCTCGGAGGAGCGTCGAGTGCTCTGTCACCACGTCTGGGGCTGGCGGGTGAGTGACTGGCGGAGTGGAGCTGCTGGGTTTGCCCACGACAGCTTATTTACTGTCTCTGACTAAACAGCAGTTGTTAATTAGCTCCTTTATGGAGATGCATGCGTCCCTCACGCGTTTGTAAAGCTGCAGCCTAAATAGATTCATCACAATTTGGGAGGAAAGCAGCTGAGCCAGGGCCCGGTGCCATGCTGGGCATCACTGGGAGCAGGGATGCAGGGATAGGGGTGCCAGTGGATGCTTGGAGTCCCCCAGACCCAAACTTTGCATGAAGTAGGCTTGCTCCCAGCCTCCTCCCTGCCTGTGGGGGATCGGGGTGCCCTGGCACGTGTGAGCAGGGGATGATGGAGCAGAGCTGGGCAGCCAGGCCCTGGGGCAGCGTTCCAGGCTGGCACGTCCCAGCGGCACAGAGCTGGGAGCTGGGATGGGTGCCGAATCCCCGCAGGGCTTGGCGAGGCTCTGGGAAGTCAGCAGCTCTGCCGCTGGGGACTTGGGAGCAGCACAGTGCCAGCGGGAGGGATGGTGGCAGGGATCCCGTCTCGGGGCTCTGACCCCAGGCGCCCTGTTCTGAGCCAGGCTGTCCCCAGGCCACCCCAGGGCACAGGGGACAGCAGCTCCATGTCACAGCGGGGTCTGGCTGCCCCGATGCCTCGGGGTCTGCCCGGAGCGGCTCCGCCCGGAGCCTGTGGAGGAGCATCCCTGAGAACCATCCTCCGAGGGACACCCTCCTCCCGCAGGGACAGGCGTTCTGGCCAGCGGTGCCACCACCGGTCCCCGTGGGGAGGAAGAGCTGCTCCACAGGGATGACAGCCAAGGAACGGGCTTCGCTCCCACCCCCGGGATCGGGGTTCCCCTCCTCCGGGCGGAGATTCAGCCCCCCGAAGGGGGAGAAGGCGGGTGGGGAGGGGAAGGAGGGCGCTGCCGGGGGAGGCACCCGGGGCGGAGGAGGATGAGGAGGAGGGCGGGGATGCGAAGGCGGGCGGCGGCGCAGGCCCCCCCGGGTTGGGGGGTGGGGGGGGCGGAGGGCGGGCAGCGCTGGGGGGCGGCTCGGGCCCCCCCGGAGGGAGGCGGGGAAGGCGGCGGGGGCGGCGCGGCGGCTCCCGGTGTCCCGCGGCGGAGTTCCCGGTGTCCCGCGGCGGAGTTCCCGGTGTCCCGCGGCGGAGTTCCCGGTGTCCCGCACCATCCGGGCAGTCCCGTCCCCGCCGAGCCCTGCGCAGGTGAGCCCCGCACGGCCCCGCACCGGGAACGGGCAGAGCCCGGCGGAGCCCGGCCCCGCGGCGGGGAGGGACGGGACAGGGCGAGCCGGGGATTCCCCGTTAATAACCGGAGTTAATCACCGCCCCGGGGCCGTGGGGACCCGCCGGTGCGGAGGGTGCGGGGTAGGGAAGGCGGGGAGTAATGAGGGGGGGTCAGGAGTGGGTGCAGGGGTGGGCAGAGGGTGCAAGGGTGGGAGCAGGGGTGGGTGCAGGCAGTGGCAGACCAGAGGAGCCGGGAGGCAGCAGAGGGGAGCCGGGAGGTGCAGGGGTTGTGTTTTGGGATAGGGGGGCTGGGTCGCAGGCAGGGAAGAGCAGGGGGTGCGGGAGAGCCCAGTGCAGGCAGTGCAGAGAGGGGTCCCCGCTCACGGGGGTCCCCGGGTGCTGTGCGTGGGATGAAGGCTCAGGGATTCACGTCCCGCCCTGGCAGCAGCCAGTGGAGCCGGAGCGTGTCCGGTCTGTCCCGACTCTGTCTCCCTCCGTGCAGCCCGGCCTTGCCTCGTGGCAGGAAGCAGGAGGGAGGCCAGGTCGGGGTGACCTGCAGGGCCTGAGGCACCCCGGGATCCACTCGGGACTGGGAGATAAAACAGGAGGGAGAGAGACCTTCCTGAGGGGTTCATACAGCAGGTGCCCAGTTCCACTCTGGGGAACCTCAGTCTTCACATGTCCGGATGTTTGGAGTGAATCCAGGTGCTGTGATTGGACTGAACCCACGGGATGCTGGGGCTTGCCCTGTGTGTTTGGGGTGGGTGTGGAGCAGATGGTGATCCAACAGTGGATGGGGGGAGGCCGCACTGAACCCCAAAATTTGACAGAGCCATGGCCAAGAGGGTCAGGACCAACTCCATGCTGGCGGCTTTGCTGGAAGTATCCCAGTGTTGGCAACCTCATGGGCTGGTGCCCACCATGGACTGGTGCCCACCATTTGCCCATCCCGCTGCTGCCCAATGTCTTTCCCTTGCAGGCAGCTGTGTTGGCCCTGAGCTGCTGCCACGGGCACCATGAGGGGTCTCTGGGCCCTCGTGCTCACGGCGCTCGCCGGTGCCTGCGAGGGGAAGGAGCTGCCGCCGGCGGAAGGTAAGGGACACCATGAGCAAGGGCTCGGGGTCTGCATGGGAGCAGCCCCCTCCTTGCATGTCCCTGGGGAGGGTTTGGTCAGCCCTAGGGATGGCAGGGTGGCTGGAGACACCGCGGTCCCCACGTGCCACGACTGGAGCGGTGGCTGTGGACGGACATCGGCTCCCTGCTGAGCGCCGGCTGCTCCAGGCTGTGGGGCTTTGCTCAGCATCCCGTGTGGGCAGGGGGCCAGGGAGGGCTGAGCGAGCCCAGCCGTGGGGAGCCAGCCCAGGGACACCCCGGCATCGCCCCCGCAGCCCTGGCCGTGCTCGTGGAGGGACTGGGCTTGGCCGTGCTCCGGCCGCGGGACGCTCGGTGCCAGCTGGCAGCGCCGGCGGCGCGTCCGGCAGCACGTGTGGGGTAGGTGAGCCAGGACCTCTCAGGGCTGTGGCAGGGATGCACAGAGCTCCCAAGGGAGTTTTGGCCTCCAGCTGCCAGCTGGGAAGAGGTTTGGCCACGGTCCATGCCATGGTGGAGGCTGCCCATGTGCAGTGGGGGACAGAGGGACGATGGCTGAGCCCACGGGGGTCTCTGCCGGGGTGTCCCTGCCCACGGGGTCGCTGTGCCTGGGTCCCGGTGTGGGAAGAGCTCGAGGCGGATGCCGGGGAGGAGCCGCTGGCAGCGACGCCGTGGTTGCATCAGGCTTTGTAGGGGTGGAGCAGTGGCTCGTCCGGGGGGCCCGGGTTTGCCCGTGGGAGGGACCCATAGCCGGTACCAGCTCCTGCTGCCCAGCACGGTGTGGCCTCCCATCTCCTGGCCTTTTCTTAGGGCTATGAGGCTTGGACAGATGAGATTTTCCCTTAGGCTCTTCACCAGGGCTGGGAGAGGCTTCAAAGGGATCGGGCCGGGGTGATTTATGCTCTGCTTTCCGTCCCCTGGCCTGCTGAGGATGATCTCAGCGCCAGCAGGAGGGAGCTCTGCCCCCGGCTGGGACACTCGCAGCCCCCCCTGCCGCTGCCGTGTCGGGGGTCCCAAGGGTGAGGGCACCCCCCCCACACCACTGCTGACCCCATGTGAGTGGTCAGCCTGGGGGAGAAGCATTGTGGTGGTGCCTGAGGGCCCCCTCTGAGGGCAGAGATGGAGGTGGGCAGTGGGGCTGGGGGGGGTCAGACATCCCCCCAAGAACAACCAAGGAAGAGGCGAGTGAATTGGTGGCCATCCCTGCTCCAGGGCTGGTGTGCATGGAGAGAAAACAAATTCCTCTTTCACTACCCCCTTGTTTACTCTTTTATCTCACACCTCCCAACATCTGGTGCATTCAGAGGAGGTGGATTGATGCTGCTGAAGTAGTAATTTATCAGTACAAACAGCAGCAACATCCCCGTGATCACGGCTCACATGGCATTTCCAGCCTCTTGCTGTCCCCTGGCTGGACCCTAAAGCCTGTCCCCTGGGCCACTGGGTCTGAGCTGTCACCAGGATGGGACAGGAAGGCCAGAGGGCAGCCCTGGGTGCCATCTCCCCACTGTGGGTGTCCGTGGCACTCGTCCGAGTCTCCTGATGCTGATTCCAGCTGCGGAAATGTTTTGAGGCAAAACACACAGGAACTGGGAAAAGCATTTCACCTGGTGAACTGGCTGTAGGAGATGAAGACGCTGGCTCTCAGCTCACTGCCTGTTCCCTCCAAACTGCTCCTGGAGGGCTCCAGCTTCTCTCCTCCAGGCACCCAGGAGCCAGTGCTGCTGTGGGAGCAGATCCCTGCTGGATCTGTGCTGCCAGCAGCTTTGAGGGGCTGGGGTGAGCTCCTGGAAGCACCCCGAGACCCTCTTGGGCTTGGGGAGCTCTGTGTGTTGCCACCCTGCTTGTCCCACTGTGCCCCTGGGGATGCTGCAGTGACGGTGATGTGCTGATTTGCCTTGCAGGGGAGCTGTGCCCGCAGCTCTGGGACGAGGACCTGGCTGGGGACAAGTATGAGAACATAACGGGTAAGGAAAGCCTCTCTCATCCTGCAAACGGGGTCCCTGGGCAGCCCTGGCACCCCGGGGGTGGGCTCTGTGCCCTGCCTGGGGAACATCACGGTGTGGCAGGGCCAGGTCTCACCTGCTCCGCTCTGCCCTGCAGGTTTTAACCTGATTAAAAGGTTCGACCTGCTGAGGATCTCGTCCGTCAAGAAGATCCGCAGCCCCCGGGGGCCGACAGTGCTGCGGCTGGGGGCTGTGCCCCTGGTCCAGCCCACCCAGTGAGTGTGGGGGGGCTCGGGGGGTGGCCCTGGGTGTGACCCACGGGGTGGCCCTGGCTGACTAAAGCTCCCCCGGGCACCATCCCCATGTGTTGTAAGGATGGAACCCAAGGGGAGCTGGGTGGGCTTTGCCCTGAGCTCGTGCTGGGGGCACCATGCAGCTCCACAGCACCCTGGGAGATGCAGGGGACCCCAGGGCTGCCCAGACACCTTCCTCCTAGAAAGTAAATCAGGGGCTGTCGCGGCTCAGCTGGGTGGTGGCCAAACCTTACGCAACCAGGGCTCTGTGGCTGCTCTGTGGTTGCGCTTGGCAGGCGCCCGCGGGGTCTAGACGAGCTCAGGACGCTGCACAGCTCTGAGCAGGCACTGCAGGGCCTGGGGGGCTCTGCTGGGGGAGGCACACGGAGCCTGGCCCTCGTCCTCCCTGTCTCTGGGGCGTCCTGCCCGGCTGTGCCCGTGGCTGTGCCGCCCCACAGTGCCAGGGCTGGCAGGGGGTGCTGCAGCGTGGCAAGGCGGGAGCAGATCCACGTCCTCGGGAACTGTTCCTGGAGGAAACCGCTGCGGTTTGCATGGCTGCCTCCTCCAGCCTGTCCCCACATCGCCCCAGGGCTGGCACGCAGCTACAGCGGGCATGGGGCTCTCCTGGGGGCGAGGAAACCCGGCCTTGGCTCCTGACCTGGGCAGCCAAATCCTGGGGTGGCTTCAGGATGGCTCCAAACTGGTGTTGCTCTTGGCTGGGTGCCTGTGGCACCCCAGATCCAGCCGTGGGGAATGCTGAGTGGGGGATGACCACCCTACCCAGGTTCTTAGCTCCAGGTGGGCACCTCTGGGTGCCCATCCACCTTGGTGCCCAGCAAGGATGTCCCTGTGTCCCACGGAGAACAGAGGGGACCACCAGGTCTGTCCTGTTCCCCATCACTTGGTCCAGCTCCAGAGGGGTGGTTTGGAAAATCGCTGGCGTGGAGCTGAGGCCGAGAGCGGAGCAGAACCTGGAGCAAATATTTCCAGTGGTTTAGTGGGCTGTGGGAGAGCTGGGCACAGTCCCACTGGGGAACTGCCACGGCTGCCATCCAGCCCATGGAGCCTTGGGGGTTGTGGCTGTATTTCCTGGCTTCCCAGGGGAAAATTGGATACCGTGGGGATAAGTGCGTGGCCCTGGGTGCTGCAGCCACTCCAGGAGGGCTGTGTTTGGGGTGCAGGGGGTGGGGCAGGGATGGGGAAGGTGCAGCTGGTGCTGAATCCACCATGATGGCATCTGGGATGCCACCGGTGGGGACAGAGTCTGGCAGGATTAACGGGGAGCTCTTGGGGTGATGCTGCCACTGGGTGCCACAGGGATGGGTGCCACAGGGATGGGTGCCACAGGAATGGGTGCCACAGGGATGGGTGCTGCAACCAGCCTTGGTGCCAACTCCAGTCCGAGAGCCTGGTGCAGGGTCCGGCGCCCCTGACACCCATCCCCACAGGCAGGTGTTTCCTCGTGGGCTGCCCCCCACCTTCACCCTCATCTTCACCTTGCTGCTGAAGAAAAACAGCACCGGGGAGCACTGGTACCTCTTCCAGGTCACCGACCGGCAGGGATACCCCCAGGTACCGCCCCGGGAAGGCGGCGGGATGCACCAGCAGCGCGGGGACAGCCAGAAGCCGTCCCTGAGTGTTGTCCCCTCTGTGCTCAGCTCTCCCTGTCCGTGCACGGCCCCGAGAAGAGCCTGGAGTTCCAGGCCAGGGCAGCAGGGGCCGCGTTCGTCAGCGCCGTGTTCGCGGGGAAGGCCGTGGCGTCCCTGTTCGACGGGCGGTGGCACAAGGTGGTGGTGGCCGTGCAGGGACACGCCGTCTCCGTCCACCTCGACTGCTCCTCCATCTCCTCCAAGCCGCTGGCACCGCGGCGGGCGCTGGCCCTGGAGGGAAACACCTTCCTGGGGCTGGACACCGTGCGTGGCACCCCGGTCCGGGTGAGTGCCCGTGGGGTGAGGGCACCCCTGCCACCCCTGGAGCCGCCCCTGACCTGCCACCCCTGACCTGCCACCCCCACCCACTGCAGTTTGACATCCAGCAAGCCCAGATCTACTGTGATGCCGAGCTGGCCCGGCAGGAGGGGTGCTGTGAGATCTTGGCCAGCGGGGTGAGTGCCTCCGAACCCCCCACCCCAATCCCAGCTGGACCCTGGAGTTGCCCTGTGCACGGGCAGGGTTTTCCCCAGAGGGGAAACTGAGGCACGGTGAGGGCCTGTCTCTCCCCTGTGGGTCACCTCCTGCTCGCGGTGCCTGTCCCCGTGGGTACATCCCTCTCCTGAGTCACACCGGCTGCTCAGGCGGGGCCGGGGCTCCCGGCTCTCCCCTCGGCAGCCCCCCACAGCAGCTCTCTCTCCCCGAAGTGCCAGACGGAAGCTCCCAAGACCCGTCGGCAGGCGGAGCTGATGCAGAGCAGCAACCTCATCGAGATGGTGCCACAGCCCGAGGGCCGGGTCTACACCCGCTGCTTCTGCCTGGAGGAGCCGCTGGGCACCGTGAGCTCCGGCGTCCCCGTCCCCGTCCCCATCCCCATCCCAGCACGGGGAGCGGTCCCAGCCCCGCGGGATGGGCAGTGGCTCAGCTGCCGTGCCCGGTGCTGCTGAGCCCGCAGCCGCACGGATCCAGTCCCTGGAAAATCCCTGCCTCGCTCTTTCCACCGCGCCAGGCGAGGGAGGGAGCTGGCGGTGACCGGGGCCCTGGGAATGCGGGAGGGGACGGCTCCTGTGGTCCCACCACTGTCTGCACTGGCCGAGACGGGGCTCATCCATGGGTGTCTCAGGCAGGATAACCCAGGATTCGTGGAGAGGGAGCGCCCAGGAGTGCACAGCTGGGATAACCCGGGGGTGCTCCTCTCTCTCCACAGGAGCCGGTGAGAACCTCGGGGAGGAGCAGCCTGAAGGAGGATCCCAAGGAGAAGGTGAGGGAGGTGCAGAGCGTGTCCCAGCCCGGCTGCCCTGGTCCTGCCATTCCCAGCTCCGCTCCCCTTCCTCCCGCCGGTGCCATCCCAGGGGCCCACCCACCCCCTGGGCTGGGTCTGCCCCGCGGCATTTGGGAACTTTCCGCTGCTGCCAGAGCTGCAGGTCTGGAAAAGCAGGGCAGAAGCGGCTGCTCTGCTCCCCCGAGCAGGAACTGAGGCCCCACTTGCTCTCTGCTGCTGCTGGAGAGATCCCAGCTATGGCCAAGGGCCTCTTTGTTCCCTCCGAGCGTCTCCGGAGCGCTGCCAGAGCTGGGAAGCGTCTCCAGTGCTCCTGTTCCTCAGCCCTGCGTGTCTGTGTGATCCCTGTCCTGCCACAGGGATTCAGGGCTGCTGTGTCCCAGTGGTGGGATCCTGCTGGGAATCCCAGGGGTGTAGATCGGGTCCAGCAGTGTGGGCTGGGGCCTGTGAGAGCACAGGGTCCGTCCTGCAGCCCCATCCTGCCTGTCCCCGATCCCATGGGAGCAGACTGGAGTGGCTGGTTTGGCTGGAGGGGCCGTGGTCAAGCCACAAAGCCACAGGGAGAGCCGGGTGCCGGGCTCTTCATGTCCCCAGGGAGCACACACAGTGGGTTTTCCCTTCTCCATCCAGGACATTCCCTGTGCCCACCCACGGGCACCCCTGAGCTGGTGGAGAGATGCTGCTGGGGCAGCCCCACGGGTTTGGGGTGCCCAGGGGAGCGGGGCAGTGCCCACGGGGGTGTGGGTGCCATGGAGGGGTGGGTGCTGTAGGGTTTGGGGTGCCATGGGCAGTGAGTGGAGCTGGTCCAAGTCCCCATCCCTGTCTCTTCCAGTGCCCGCCCTGCTCGGCACAGATGGCATCAGCAAACGTGAGTGTGGCACCAGGCTGTGCTGGCAGGACAGGGGAACCCCGGCCCAGCCTGGCTGGGCTGGGAGCTGGGGACAGCAAAAGCCACCAGGGTGCTGGCTCAGGGGTGTCCCTCACCCCTCTGCCATTGCCACCGGCCCCCCACGACCCACAGCTCCTCCTGGCCTGGGGCCCTGCAACATCTGGCTGTGGGGAAGGTCTCTGATCCCTTCCAGATGTGGCCCCATTGCTGCAGCAACCGCTGGCTGGAGGTGTGGGGGGGATGGTGGAGGGATGGTGGGTGTTTGGGACCCCTCATGGAGCTCCTGAGGTGGCGCTTGGGGACAGGGCGTGGGGAGGATGGGGACCATGGTGGGGTCAGGGCTCTCCTGCTGCCATTTGGAGCCACCATGACCTTGGGGGGCTCTGGGACACCTCCCTCCTCTCTCCCCAGGTCACACTCGGTCCCTCAGGTCCGAAGGTAGGTTTGTCACCCCCCAGGACACCCAGGGCCCAGCCCCGGCAGGGATGTGGCCACTGTGTGCCTGGAGCATCCCTGCCTGGAGCTGTGGGCCCGCTGTGGGCACACATGGGGACACTTGAGCCCGTTTTGTGCCCCACACCTCCCCTCTCTTGCAGGGCACCAAGGGTGAGCGTGGCCTGCCCGGCACCGCCGGCGCCAAGGGGGACAAGGGTGACCGTGTGAGTGTCCCCGGCCATGTCCTGGGTGGGGACCCTTCTGGGGGGTCCTTGGCATATGGGGGTCCTGCTGCCCTGGGGGTGTTCCTGGCCCCCCACCCTTGGCTGTGGTGGTTTGGGCAGAGCCCCTGAGCCACCTCCCCTCCTCCGCAGGGCATCGACTGTGTGCGCACCCACCCCGGCGGCCCCGTGCAGGTGAGACCCCCCCGACCCTCCCTGAGCCCCCCTCCCCACCTCTGCCACCCCCTCACCTCCTTCTCCTCCTCCCCAGTGTGCTGAGGGGCCACGGGGTGAGAAGGGGCAGCGTGGAGAGGTGGTGAGTGACACTTGGCTGTGGGGACACGGGGTGGGGACACTGCGGTGGCCCCCCCTGCGTGGCTGGTGTGCCCGGGGTCCAGCCCTGAGGGTCCAGCTCTGTGGGTGGGTGGTGGGGGGATGAAAGGAGTGGAGGCGAGAACAGAGGGGACCCTGCACGAAGCCACCCGTGGGTGCCTGCACGAGCCCACCCGTGGGCACCCACTTCTTCCTGCTGTTCCCATGCAGGGTGTCCCCGGGGCCACTGGTGCTGATGGGGAGAAGGTGAGTCCAGCCCCTCTGTGGGTCCTGGCACTGCGGCAGGGACACCTGAGCTGTGTCCCCTGGGGTGGCAGCAGCGGTGCCAGGACCTGCCAGGGCCAGCCTGGATGGCAGAGATGACAGTGTGGGTGATGCCACGGGTGACAGCACAGGTGACATTGATCTGTCCCACAGGGCCAGAAGGGCCAGAAGGGCGATGGGGGACTGCAGGGCAAGCCGGGGCGCCCAGGGCGTGATGTGAGTAGTGCCAGGGGGTACCTGCCCCTGCCCCCTGGGCACCCCCTGGGCAGTGGGGTCCAGCTGCAGGACCAGCCTGCCCGTGGGGTGCACACACAGAGCCTTCACACCCTGCTCCCCTCCCGCAGGGCCGGCCCGGAGAGATCTGCGTGGTGGGCCCCAAGGGCCAGAAGGTGGGTGGGGGTCTGGGGGGGAGAAGGTGGGAGATGGGGCTCCCGGTGCCAGCACTGGCATTGACACCTCCCTTGTCTTCCAGGGTGACCCTGGCCTTGTGGGACCCGAGGGGCTGGCTGGCGAGCCGGGACCCCCAGGGAAGCCAGGATCTCCAGGGATTGGCTTTCCAGGGAAGCCGGTAAGGACCCCTGTGCCTGTGCCCGGATGACGTGCCCAGTGGGCATTGCCGTGGGAAGGGGTGAGGTGTTCCAGAGCTAACACCACCCTCTGTCCCTTCCAGGGTGACCCTGGTGGCCCCCCGGGTCCGAAGGGAGAGAAGGTGAGTGGAGGGAAGGGGGTCCCAGCTGCCCCTCCCTGCCCAGGGGGGCTGGTGGGGACTGGGATTAGGAGCTGGATCTGGCACTGCTGAGCCAGTGCTGGCTGGTGGAGCTGCCACCTGCTCAAGCCCCAGCTGGGTGGCCCAAGGACCTGGCTTGAGGGGCAGGAACCCCCCCAGGGGGACAAGGGTATCGCAGGGGTGCCAAGGGCTGCGGTGTTTTCCCCTGCCGGGCTCAGGCTTTCCCATCTCTGGCTCCAGGGCAGCTCGGGAGCTCCTGGACCCGGAGGATCGCCTGGGACACCCGTGAGTACCAGGAGCCTGGAGCCAAGGCCCGGGGTCAGGGACGGGTTTCTTGGCTCGAGATTGGGGCTGTTTGGCCAGAGCAGTGGCGGGATCCAAGCCCAGGAGCTGAGAGGGATTTGGGATCACCCAGTGATCCGGTGGCCTGGCTCGGGGCTGGGATCATCCAGTGCCACAGCTGGTGGAGAATCAGGGGGAGCTGCGTGGCACTGCCAGGGCACACCTTCGCCTCGGGGCTCCCTGAAGCAGCCCCCTGCCCACCTTCCTCCCACAGGGTCCCCCCGGTGCCCTGGGGCCAAAAGGAGACAAGGTAGGTGCCATGGGCTGGTGCTGGCACAGCCCCACCACGGTGCCCATCCCTCACCTCGGGGGCCACTCCAAGGACCCCCCGGCCTGGGCTGTGTCTCACTGTCCCCACTGGGCAGGGTGAGCCGTGTGAGGTGTGTCCCACTGTCACTGAGGGGACGCTCGGTGCCATCGGGGTGCCCGGCAAACCAGGACCCAGGGGAGAGCCCGGAGCGCCCGGCAGGGACGGGGTCTCGGTGAGTCTGAACCTGGGGGCTTGTGTGGTGGAGGGCAGGGCAGGGGCTCATCTCAGCATCCCTGATGCTCCCTTTGATTCCCCCTTCCCAGGACAGACCCGGCCCTGCAGGACCCAAAGGGGACAGGGTAGGTGACATGGGGTCGACTGGCTTGTCCCCCTCTGGGGACACCAAGCACCGTCCAGCCCGTGCTGGCAGCATCCAGCCCAGCTCCTGTGTTTCCTTTCCAGGGAGATCGTGGCATCCAGGGGATGAAGGGGGAGAAGGTGAGTGTCCAACCCTCTGTCCCACCCTCCCCCGGAGCCCCTGCAGCCCCCTGAGCTGTCCCCTGTCCCACCCCCAGGGGGACTCGTGCCTGTCCTGCGATGTCCGTGTCCTCGCCGCGCTGCGCCGGGGCCCTGCCGAGGGGTTTGAGGGTGAGCCGGGGCTGCCGGTGAGTCCTGGGGCTGAGCCCCCCCCGTCCCGTGCTGGGGGGACACCCCGGTCACCCCAGGGCTGCTGAGGGTGCCGGGGGTGTGACCATGGGGGATGTTCAGCAGGGTGACCTGGGGCTCCCTGGGCTGGCTGGGATCAAGGGTGAGAAGGTGAGTAACCCCCACACCCCCCCCCCCTTCCTGCATGGCTGGAGTCAGTGGGAATGGCTGGATCACCCCATGGGGTTGGGGCAGCCTTGTCTGACCCCAACCATGTCCCTGTGCCTGACCCTGCTCCGTTTCAGGGGGACGGTGGCCAGCTGGGACCCACGGGCAGACCGGTGAGTGGGGGCACAGGTGGGCAGGGGGGATGTGGGGGCTCAGGGTGGGTGCTGGCAGCCCAGGGTGGCCAGGAGCCGGGTGTTGGGGGCCGTGGTCTCACCTCTGCCGTGGCTTCTCGGTGCAGGGGCTCCCGGGAGAGAAGGGTGACCCGGGTGTGCGGGGGCTCAAAGGAGAGAAGGTGAGCCCTGCCATGGGGACCCCCAGGACCCCTCTCCCTGCCCTGTCCGTGCCACCTCCCCAGCTGTGACCTGTGCAGCTCATTGCACGGGACAGCCCTGAGGTGGGCACAGCAGCGCTCCGGTCCCCAGAGCCACATTCCAAGCGGGATGTCCCTGCGCAGGGGGAGCCGTGCGGGCAGTGCCCTCCCACCCCACAGGCCCTCCAAGGGGCAGCGACAGTGGTGGCTGTGCCAGGACCGCCGGGAGAAAGGGGCCAGAGTGGCCCCCCGGGCAGAGCGGTGAGTGCCCCCCGTGCCCACAGTGCCCAGTTTGGGGGGGATGCTCCAGCCTGACCCGTTCCTCTGTTTCCCCAGGGCAGACCGGGCGACGCTGGGCAGAAGGGGCAGAAGGTGAGAGGGCCTGGGAGGGGGTCCCAGCGGGGCTGGTGATGGCAGAGGCGGCTGTGACCCCTGCGTGCCATGTCCCTTCCCTCCCCACGTGCCCTCTCTTTGCCAGGGGGACGCTGGCAGCCCCGGGGACCCGGGCACGCCGGGCATGGCCGGTGTCCCAGGGCTGTCGGGTGAGCCCGGAATCAGGGGTCCAGCCGGCCCCAAAGGCGAGAAGGTGAGACCCTCATATTTTGGGGACCTGTCCCCTGTCACTGTGGTGTCCCCCACCCCTCCATCCCTCTCCCATCCCCTCCTCCACAGGGAGACCCCTGCGAGCCGGGTGCTGCTCCACTCGGGGACCTCTCGGGCGTGGTTGGCATCCCAGGAAAACCCGGAGCCAAAGGGGACCAGGGCCCCCCTGGCATCGGCCAGCCAGGCAGACCCGTGAGTGCCCCCTCCCCACGGCCACGGTGCCCAGTGGCATCGTGCCCTCGGGGTGACCCTGCTGTGTTTTAGGGGAAGCCGGGGCTGCCGGGGGTCCGGGGCCCTCCCGGGCTGAAGGGGCTGCAGGTGAGCGGGGTGCAGGGGCTGGGTCTGGGGGTCCTGAGGGCACCTCACTGCCCCTCCATCTCCCCAGGGTGAGCCAGGACCGCGGGGGATCGGCCAGCCGGGACCACAGGTGAGTTTTGGGGTGCCCATGCCGTGCCATGCCGTGCCGTGCCGGGTTGCTCTGCCGGACCTCACACACTCTGCTTTTCCCAGGGAGACCCCGGGAGCACCGGACCCCCCGGGACACCCGTGAGTAGCATTTTAGGGTGCCCAGTCCTGGGAGATGGGGCAGCCACCAGCCCCCCAATTCCTGCAAGCGGGGGGATCATCCCCCTGCAGCGTCAGCCCTCCCTGTGGGCAAGTGGCAGGGGGGTCCTGGCCAGCCCACCCTGGGGACAGTGCAGTCCCCTTGGCTCACTGGGGGTCTGTCTGGGACAACTAACACCCTCTCGTGCCCCCAGGGCCCCCCTGGACCCCAGGGACCCCCGGGGATGGCAGCAGAGAAAGGTGCCAAGGTAAGGGAGCATCCCCCAGCCCTCCGTGCCCCCCCTGCCCCCTACTCCTGCTGTCCTTCCTCTGCAGGGATCTCCGGGGCCCAAAGGTGCCGTGGGACCTCCTGGACCACCAGGGACCAGTGTCACAGGGCCACCGGTATGTCCTGCCCTCTGGGATGGGCACTGCCACCCCCCAGCCCCTCAACCCTGGCTAAAAGTCACCGTGCCAGGGGTCGAGCCAGGGAGCTTCCTCACCCTCCTCTTCCTCACAGGGCCCCGAAGGGCAGCGGGGGCTCCCCGGGTCCAGTGGGCAGCCGGTACGTGCGGGGGGTGCCAGGGGGGGCCGTGCCCAGAGCGTGGGCTGAGCTGGTGCCCCCCATGCTCACTGTGGGTGGGGGGCACTGGGGGCACCAGGGGCCACCTGCTCATACTCCACCTTTCCTCCTGGCAGGGGGAGAAGGGTGCCCAGGGAGAGAAGGTGAGTTGGGGTCCACCTCCTGTACCCCCCGTTCCACCTCCTGCCCTCCCTGCCCTCACCTCCTCTCTCTCCACAGGGAGACCCCGGGGAGTGCTCCTGCCCCCTCAGCCCCCGCCAGGATCCCAACTACGCCGGGATGCCAGTAAGTGCCACGAAGTGCCCATGGGCACCCCTGGCTCTGCTTCACCCCCACGGGCACACCCTGATCCCCCTCAGCACCCCCCTCCATCAAATTCTCTCCCCCCTCTTCCCCTTCTCTCGTCCCCAGGGAGCCCCAGGGCTGTGGACTGGGATGTCCTGGCAGCCACAGCCAGGCCCGCAGGTGGGTGCTGTGCTGCACCCCCCACCCACCCCCACCTCACCCCCTGCCTCTCTCTGACTGTGTTTTGGGGTCTTGCAGGGTCCCCCCGGAGCCCCCGGGCCCCCCGGCCCCCCCGGTGCCCCCGGTCGCCAGGTGAGTGACAGGGGACAGGAGATGGGAGCGGGACTGGTGCTGCCCAGCTTTTAGCACGGGGTTTATCCACTCTCTCCTTGGATTTAGGGAATGCCAGGACACAACGGTTTGCCAGGACTGCCTGGGCCTGCCGGAGACCTGGTCGGTGGTGCCCCTGCCCATGGCAGTGTCCCCTGTGCCCCACGTCCTGCTCCCCTACTGTGGGACAGTCCCTCCCTCCCTCCTCCCATCCCTCCATCCCTCCATCCCTCCCTCCATCTCTCCCAGGGGCCGCTGGCCGTCGTGGCTGAGAGGAACATCGAGGTGCTGAAGGTGAGAGTGCGGGGATGTGTCACCTTTTCCTGCCCTGCGGACCCCAAACGCCTCGGGGCGCCCCTGACTCCCCCTTTTCCTCCCAGACTCTCTGTGGGGACTGTGCCCAGCTCCAGGCAGCCTTGGAAGCCCCCAGGGGTGTCGAGGGGGAGAAGGGGGACGGGGGCATGCCGGGTGCCCCCGGCAGCGAGAGCTGTGCCCGCGTGAGTATTTCCACACCTCCGGGTGGGAATCTGGGTGCCCAAAATCCCCTGGTCTTGGGGGGGGGAGGTGAAGAGACACTCCCAAGTCCCTGGGCCTCGGATGATGTGGCAGCTGTGGGAAGCAACATGCTTTGGACACGCTCTGAGCACGCTCTGGACACGCTTAGGACACACTGTGGACACGCTCTGGACACGCTCTGGACACGCTTGGGGCACACTGGTCCTGCTGGGAACGTGGGCAGGACACACATACAATCCCTGCCAGCCCCAGTGGGGTTCCTGGGAGGAGGATGGGATTGTCCCATTCCAGTGCAGGCTGGAGCAGTGGGTGCTGAGCCCCCGAGGGATGTGGGGTGAGGGGCTCCGAGCCCCGCTGTGCCCCACGGCTCCTCTGGGCTGATCCCTGGGTGACTCCTGGGTTTTCTTCCAGTGCTTTGCCCAGTTCCCGAGAGAGGAGGCAGCTCGGGTGAGTGAAGAGTGTCCCCCCCTGGCCTCTCCCTGTCCCTGGGGATGAGCTGATAACCCAGTCCAACTCCCTGATTCCCAGGGTGCTGCAGAGGCTGTACCCCCATCGTGGGAGCAGACGGGGCTTCGGGGGGGTAGAGGCTGCTTTGGGGGGGCTTGGCAGGGCTCAGTGGTGGGCAGTGGGCAGTGCCAGCCCAGGGTTCTGACACATCCCCACTCCCTGCAGGGTGACAGCCCTGACACTGACTGTCCTGGCCATCCCGGGTTGCCGGGTGCCCCGGGCATCCCTGGAGAGAGAGGCGAGCAGGTGAGTGAGCTCCAACCCCTCCTTGGACCCCCTGCCATCCCAGCCCTTCCCAGGGGCCATGGCTGGTCCCTCGGTGCCCTTCAGAGGTGGTCTCTCTCCCCTCCTGTCCCCATGGTCACACCTGACACCTCAGTCTCTCCCCAGGGCTCACCAGGACTGCGGGGACCCCCTGGACCACCCGGGCCCATCGTAAGTACCCGTGCCTGGGGTGAGGGGCTGCCAGGCTGTGTGGCCATCATGGTGTGGTCCTGTGGGGCTTGGAGGCCCTAAAAGCAAGTTGCCAAGAGGGCTGCCCCGTGCCCTGAGGCCGTGGTGATGGGCAGAGGGGCACGGCATGGCCTGGACGTCCCAGCCTGGAGATGGAGGTGAAGGTGCTGCCAGCCCGGAGATGGAGCAGGAGCTCTGTGGCACCCCGAGGGCTCAGCCCAGGCTCCCCCGTGCCCTTTCCGGGCCATGACCTCCCTGTTTCTCCCCTCAGGGCCCCCCAGGCTTTCCTGGAACGCCGGGTGCACCCGGACTGCCTGTAAGGACCCAGCACGGCTCTGCTCTGTGCCCTGTGTCGTTGCCGCTTGGTTTGGCTGTGTCCCTTGTCCCTGTCCCCCCCTGGGAGCAGCTGCAGCACAGCTGCCCCATTTCTCTTCCACGCCATCTCCATCCTGCCATTTCCACCTCCTCCATCCCAAAGCAGGGGGTCTCGGTGGACTGGGATCTGGGAATGACCTTCCTGAGCTCAGGGATCTGGCGCTGGCACTCACCAGTCCTGGTGCCATCATCGTGGCACCTGGTTCAGCTCAGCAGCTCCTGGTGTGCCGGGGACCTGCCACCCCAGGGGATGGGCTGGGTGGCACCTGGTGGCAGCTGCCCTCAGGGAAGCCCCTCGTGGGGACCAGGAGGATCCTCTGTGCAGCCAGCACTGCCTGGGCTCATCCTCCTCCTCCTTTGCTCTCTCTGTGGTCATTCAGCCTCCACCACCATCTCCACTTTGATCTTCATCTCCATCTCCATCCTCATCTCCATCTCCATCCTCCTGCTCCCGCCCGCGCTCGCTCCCGCCAGGAGCTGGTGGTGGGGCTGTGCCGGCGGCTCTCGGAGGATCCGGCCCTCCTGCTCGTGTCCCCTCGTCCACTAATGTCACACCACGGTCTGTGTGGGGCTCTGGGGGTCGTTGCTCTGCCGTGTGCCAGCGTGTC